CGGTCCTGTATATTCATCGGTTTACAATTGATACCTCTAAATAACTCAGCCTACCTTGTCTCCAAACCCGCACGTTCGAGCCCTTAGCGGGTTCTGAACGACCTCAAGGGTATATAACCTATGAGAATCAGAGATAAAAGAAATACTGAAGAACACAAGCACCCACTTTCGCCCAGACCACCGAGCCCATGTAAGCTCTGAACTTGCATCAACAACAGCCTTGGCGGGCATATGTTTGTTTTATCATTAGGACCAGAGGGGAAAAAGAGAGGTGTTCCATAATAACGGAACGCTCGATGATCAATAAATACCTAATCACTCGCCTATTTGCGCGATATCCCGACAAAGCAATTCAGTACTGTTGAGGTTAGTGCTGTTCGGCGTGGGTTGTGGATCAAGAGCGCGATTCAGTGCACAGCCACGCGACGCGTCTCTTCGCTCGACCGCGTACTTGCCTTACGCGGCTGCTTCGGCTGCAAGTACCATTCCTCTGGCGTGGCGTTCAACCGGTATTCGAATGTCTACACACCCGGTGGTCTTTGTCTGCAGTATGTTCACATCCAAAACGGGACACTCCTTGATTGCCTTGTATTGCCTAGACTCAGAAATAGTCAGACTAAGCCTTGCAGGGTCGCATATCCACCGCTGCACTAATAATAAAAGTAATTGTAAGAGCCAAACAGCTAATTCCTAACGAATTCCTAATCAATTAGAAGCAATACCTCGTGGTGCCTTTGTATACAACGGCACGAATTACGTCTTTGATTGTGTACAGGCAAGGGAAGTAAATCCAGGCGAGAGCAAAAGATATTCTGGATTTGGCATTTTTGAATGATACTGGGTCTCGAGGCAACGAAAGACCGCGAGCACATATCATGCATATCATGATGGCACTGGCAAGACAACAACTAGAGCCTGGTATTCAATCCAGTGAGACTAGGTCAGTGACCGGGGTTCCCGGTTTATGTAGGATGCAGTACATCAAAATTACATCAATGCCAGGAGACATCTCGAGCGCAAAGATATATAGTCGACCTTGCCAGACTACTAATCGCAAGTGGGGATTCTCACAGCATCCCTTTGTTCCTCAATATTCCCCTCCTTCCCTAGGTCCCGTTCGCAGACGGACCGGCAACTCCACTAAGAAAAACAATCCTACTTGGACACGGATGTCAAAACCTGTGAGAGCATCACGGATACTTTTGGGTGATCTGAGAACCGCCGGCTTGCCATACCGGATCGGAAGACGATATTGTACAGACAACATCCATGTTGAGACACATTTCGAATCGCGCTTAATGATAAGGCCATATCTCCAATGAGGGGGATTGACCAACTGTACGACCAGCGATAACTAAACCAGAGAATTAAGCAAGAAAATGGAGAGGGCGTATCGACGTACCACGAGAGTCAACGAAAGGCAGAAGTTACATGTCAGAGTCACAAACTAACAAAACATCCAACATAAAGATACCATAAATTCTTCCGATATACAAAAATATAGCAATAAATCAGACCTTAACGAACGTGAAGAAATCTTCTACATCACCACTTTATCCTACTCTGCATCTGAATCATCCTCTGAACCAGAACCATGCCGCCGTCTCTTATTATTCGAGCCATGCCGATTCCGCTACAAGGTCAAGGAATACCATTAACAACAACACAAACACACCACATATCACAACACTCACCAAAGGAAGCTTCTGTCCCTGATTCCCAAGAGCAATAGACAACGCCGTCGTATCTACAAAAAAACCATCAATCACCACACAACCTCCAAAACACACACACATACCCGGAACGCCAGGAAACCTCTTAGCCGAATACACCGTGAACGGCTCGGTGAACGTCTGCGCTAGCACGGGTGACACGTCCGTATGCACTGCTGACGCCCCCGCTTCAGGTGCAGGCAGAGCTCCGACGTTCATAAGCCTCAGACGCAGGCGGAATGTACCCTCAGTGCGAACGGACAGGTCCTGGAAGAGGAAGAATATTCCTGGCTTGCGGTGTTCATCCAGGAGGCGGGTCGCATTAGCGGATAACGGGCCGACGAGGGTACGCGTGTAGGTGTGTCGGGGTAGAGGTGGTATCGAGGGTGTAGTAGGGGGTCGTTTCTCCTTGGTTATAGACGGAGACGTGGGGGCGGGCGCAGGCGGTTCCCAATATGAAGTTGGACTTGAAGTAGGATTGGTGTTGGGTGGTGGATTAGAGTAAGTCTCTGCAGTCCATGGACGGTATTCAGGCCCTTCGGAATTGTCGGGGTCGACTTGCCATGGTTCTCGGCCGAATGACTGGGGAGGTTGCTGGGGCGGTTGTGGGAAAGATGTGCTGGGGTAGCCCCACGTCGGGGCAGTTTCCGAATAAGCTAGGTCGGGAGGCGGTGGGTACGGTGGGTAGGGCTGTTCGGGGGAGGTCGGCGTGGGCGTTGGCGTGGGTGTTCGAGTCAGGTTGGGCGCTTGTCCACTTTTGGATGTACGCCGTCTAGTGTTGCTACTTGACTTTGGAGTCTGTTGGACGTATCGCTCGGACGACGAAGGATGCAGGACTAGATTCATTTCTTGTTTTCCGTCCCCAGACCAGAGATCGACCGTTACTAGGAAGAAGGAACAATCCACGTCGCTGAGGAGAGGTAAGCCATGGTAGACGGTACAAAAAGAGACACGTACTCGACGTCGACTATACTGTCATCTTCTCGTTTAACTACCATCTTTACTACAGCCGCTGGTGCTAGCGGTCGTCGATCCTGCATACAGATTGGTTTCCAATTGAAATCTGTAAATAAACCAGCTTGCCTTGTCCCCGAATCCACACATCCTAGCTCTTAGCGGGTTCTGAATGACCTCGAGTGTGTATAACCTACGGAAAATCAGACATAAATTGGGCCAGTGATAGAAATAAGCGCTCACTTTCGCCCAGACCACTGGCCCCATGTAAGTTCGGACCCGTCCACGGCTCCTACACGAAGGCTTGTTCCAGCCTGACGAGCATTCGTTTGCTGAATCATCCAGGTGCTGAGAGGAGAGAGGAAGAAGGAGGAGTGAAGGAGAGAGTAGCGATGAGAGAATGACCCAAAACAGCGGAACACTCGACGATCAATTATCTAGTCACGCGGCGCTTGCGCGATATGCCGACACCACCTGCTTTGAAATGATCTGTCCGACTTTTGGACCCCGATGTCGATGATGCTGGTTGGATCGCAAGCCGCGTTTAAATGCACAGCCACGTCGGTAGCGCTGCCTCGCTTGCGAACATGACTCGAGCTTAGCTTCGACCCTCGTACCGCTGTCCTGGTGTGGTATATATTCCACCGGCCCTCGAACAACAACTATCATTGTTGTACCGGTTCTCGAAAGAAAGCATCACCCGGTTATCTTATTCCCTTCGAATTACAAGCACTTCTTTTTCGAATCAATAGCAAACTGAGCACAAACAGAATGCTAATGTGACGCAAGGCTCTGCGATGTTCGCGGCGACTCCATCTCCTGCCGCCATCTTTGAGTGCTCGCTGTTATCTGTTATCGTCCCACGAAATTGGCTTGCACGCTACAATTCCCGGGCTGCATCTAGAGCCTGGTCCTTGTATCTAGGAACTCTATCTCGGTACCTGCAAAAAACCTTCGTCAAGGATCGTGTCAGACGTTCAAGCTTATCCCATTGGTTATAAGTTCTTCGAACTACTCTGCAGGCGATAGTCCGGGAGCATACGGGACGCATGCCAATTTCGCACACGTCTGGTTCCCAGAAGTAGAATCATTGTATACTTGGTATTGACCGACATTCGCAGCAACAGGCCTATTTCTCCTGCTGCGACCTACCATCAACTCGCACGATAACAACCGCACTCTATTTGCTTTGCCTATTTCCGGGTGTTCTGTCCACGCGATCCACCCCTTGATAGAGTCGATTCTAGCAAGCCATTCAGGAAGGGGCCCCGAACGCATCAACCACATTTTGGGAGGTGCACGGCAACGAAAAGAGGATTAAACGCCGCTTCTTCCGCAGCGCAGAAGGAAGAGCAATTGGCGGAACCCAGCGTCAGCTGCGGTGTGCTCGTCAACTCGGAATAAGCCTTCTGAGCCCCAGGGAGGAGACGGCAAATTAAGGAAGGAAGGAGCCTAATTTCGAGTCCAGGGATCATAAAGGGGAAGGATTGACCCACTGGATCCATAATAATTCGCACTGATCAAATTTTCAATAAAAATATTTAGAATAAGTCTTGAAACGGTTGAACGTTGAGTCTTGGCTCCCCCGTTGGCTGAGTAGTCGTATCATGGTAAGTTCAAATCACCAGTAACTCACCAGTCCAAAACCCAGGTGTATCAAAACCTAGGATTTTGTGTGCGACTCTATGGTCTGGCACATGATAAACCAACATGGTCTATGGTACATGCATTGGGAGTTTCAAATGTCACCTTCATTGACGAGTGGACCAGTGGAGGTGATCCCCTAAGTAGTTCCAAGATGAGCACAATTTTCGCAGCCATAGTCCGTGCCCCGGGATTCGGGAGTTTCAAGTGTCAATACCTAGAGATGGCGGGTTAGTGAAAAGGTTTGAATCTCAGTGTATGCAGGGGGTTCAAGTCCTACGAATACACTATAAAATAGCAGACCGATGTCGCCTTTCAATTAGGCTCCCCTCGCTGGAGGGTATTCATTGAGGTAACTTACCTGTCATGACTCATGTGATGTCAACTAATCAGCAACATACTTAATCCTATTGAATTTATGTTTCATTTACAATGTAGAACAAAGAACTGCAGCAATGTTCAGTGAGTTTTACGTCGGGAGGAAAAGCGTATAAAATAAGACACCCTAAAGAAATTGCAAATGCCGCACCTCAGTCATGTGATGTCGCATGTGTTGGGGTAACTAACAGTAAATAACGAAATCAATACTAGGTACCTCAGGGGGTCGGTACAAAATAGTATCGTACCATAGAGGTTTCGCAACCCTACCATAGCCTAAAGAAAAAGGGATATAAAATGCCAAAAAATCATTGACAACAGCGAGATTCGAACTCGCGCCCTTTCGGACCAGATTGCACAACCGGCGAATGATTACATGATCTCCGACCTGATTCTGGCGCCTTAGACCGCTCGGCCATGTTGCCACATGAGCTAGTGTCTGGTTTCAGATTATACTGTGGCGGTAGTTCAGCAATTTTGGTGCATAGTCTATGATTTTTGAACCCGAAATATAGGCTGAAATATCGGGCGGTAGTTCACTCGGCTCATTCCCTGTATCTCTGCGATCAGCTGGAGACTGAACTCAATGCTCTCCTGAAATTGGATCACAGTGCAACGCCAGGTACTTCGAGGGAGCGTGATGAGCTGCGTGAGACCGTAGATGCGCCCAGATGCCTGGCGAATTCATGGGGAGTAAGGGCAACCACTCCAACCCGTTTTCCGACTCTGTTATGGTGCTGTAGTGCGAAGATGCCTACCAACGTTGTTTTTACCAAAAACTTACATACACATCGAACCGACGAGTAGTAGCATTTTAGACCGACTTGTGGTTGTAAATGATAGACACGAACGCGTGGCATCTAATATATGTTCGCTGGAAAAAGCTCGGCGTTTCGCTTGTATGCCAGTTCTGGTAGCTTAAACCATTCGGCCATATTGCCACAGAAAAGATAAGACCACACCAGTCGAGTAGTACACCTCCACCCATCTACATCCTAAACACACCAAACCCAGGCGCACCCTCACTCCTCCTCCCCGCGACACCCAACGCCAAGCCTAAAACGTCCCTCGTATCCCTCGGAGCCACAATGCCATCATCCCACAGCCTCGCCGTCGAATACAGCGCCGTACTCTGTTCTTCGATCTCCGTCTTGAGGGCTGCATGCTGTGTCGGGTCCCTATCGAGACGTAAGGAAGAGGAAGCGAAAGAGGGATAGGAACGTACTTGGACACAGACGTCATGACCTGCGAGAGCTGTGCGGAACCCATGACGGATACTTTTGCATTCTGTCATCCCATCAGCAGGTACTAGCACGCAGAAATGAATAACGTACAGGCCACATCCACAGGAACCGCGGTGAATACTTTCGACGCGTTCCTGTTAATGTCAAGTGTCAAGTGTGGAGATGGGGGGAGCTTACCGCTCGACCGGCCATGCCTGAGTTAATGGATAAATCATAAATGAAGTTCGCGGACGTAGGATGGACGCACCGTAATTACCCGCTCCAAAGCTCCCGCCGACGATGACAGTAAACTTTGGCACGGTCGCACAGGCAACGGCTCTGACCATCTTTGCACCTAGCACGCCCGGTTCACGGAGGCACCCACTCAATTGAACGTTACGCACCATCCTTAGCTATCCCCCCTCGTTCCGCTTTGGAGCCCACCATATAACCTAGAATCGTAGTTAATAGCATGTATCCTGGCAACACGAAGCGTACGCACCAGTGACATTGACGAGAAAGACCAACGGCACGCCCCTCTGCTCGCAGATCTGTATGAAATGCGTGGCTTTCAGGGCAGAAGGGGAAAAGAGGATGCCGTTGTTGGCGATAATGCCGACTTGGTAGCCGTGTATATGCGCAAAGCCCTAGTAGACACATGAGCAGCGGTCGACACGCAAGAATAATCTTACAGTGATGATAGTCGTTCCATACTCTTTCTTGAACTCCCTAAACCGACTGCCATCAACCAAACGGGCAATGACATCACGGATATCAAAGGCCTGGCGCACGTCCGTACCGACAATCCCATTCAGCTCGCCAACATCATACAACGGCTCCTCCGGCTCAGCATCCACCTGCCTCTCCCTGCCCTGCCCCAAGTCCCCCACGACGCCGCGCACAATCTCAATGGCATGATCGTCATCCCTCGCCAGATGATCCGTCACGCCGCTCTCCGTCGCATGCATCCTCCCCCCACCGAGGTCCTCCTCGCCGACCTCCTCGCCCGTCGCGGCCCTGACGAGCGGGGGCCCAGCGAGGAATATGTGTCCCTGGTTCTGCACGATGACGTTCTCGTCGGCCATGGCTGGGACGTAGGCGCCGCCTGCGACGCTTATGCCGTGGACAGAGGCGATTTGGGGGATGCCGAGGGCGGACATTTGGGCCTACGATGTGAGCGAGGGTAGATGGGGGGAAGGGGCGCGTACCATGTTGTAAAAGATCCGCCCGAAATGGTCCTTGTCGGGAAAGACGTTTGCTTGGTGTGGGAGGGCTGCACCGCCCGACTCAACTGGGATGGGTTGGGTAGACGTCGAGGAAAGGGTAAAGAAGCGCACCGATGTAAATACAGGGTAGGGCGTTCTCCCTGGCGATCTCTTGGGCACGGAGGTGCTTCTTGACGGTGAGCGGGTAGTACGCGCCGCCCTTTACAGTCGGGTCATTCACGACGACCATGCATTCTCTTCCCTTTATTCTACCTATACCAGTGATAATGCCAGCACCAGGGACATAGTCGCCTGGGTAAACATCGTGTGCAGCCAGAGGTGAGAGCTCGAGAAAGGGCGTGTGTGGATCAAGGAGGAGATTGAGCCTATGGGAGGTGAGACAGCGAGTCTAAGATACACTCTGCTCACCTATCCCTAGGAACGCGCTTTCCTCTGGCCCTCATTCGCTCTGCAGCCTTCTCGCCTCCTCCGAGTCTGGCCCTAGCGAGCTTGGCGTTGAGATCCGTGACGAGATCGTCCATTGCCTGTGCTTTGGCAACAAACTCGGGAGATGCAGACAATACACGAGAAGGCAGGACAGAGGCATGGTAACCTCGCCGTCCGAGCTGGATGATACGGTTCATGGTGGATGCGGGGATGAATGCGGGGTATGACGACATAAATAACAATTTGTATAAAGTAATCTAAAAATCCTTCCAGTCGTCATCCCAGCCATCGCCCGGCTTCTTCGGCGGCAGCGTCGGGGCTTGAGTCGCATGCTCAAAAAAGTCATCGTCGTCGTCTGCATACAATGCCCTCCGCTCGCCCTCCCACCCAGTCGGCACAGCCCCATACCCCTCCCTCGACGGCCCGGCACCCAGCTTGCCCACGACCTCCCCGACGCTCCCAGCAACATCGACGCCAAACTGGGTCTTGCCCCAGGCATTCGCCGAGCTCCCGACGCTCACGGCGCCCTTCTTCGCGCCCTCCAAGTAGCCCTTGACGTTCCTCTGGAGCTCCGGATCAGACACCTTTTCCATGCCCGGCTGGATGACGGTTTCGTTGACGACCTTGGACGCGCCGACCACTGCAGCAGAGAGGAACGACCAGCCTTTGCTCAGCGCGGCCATGGGGTTGTCCTGAAGGGTGGTGGAGGGGGCACTCTGCGACGGCTGGGGCGTGCTCCCGAAGCCTTGGTAGCGGCCGCCTTGGGACGGAGGGAGGTGGTCTGGACGGCTGGCATTGGCCTGACCGAGGGAGCTAAAGTAGAGTTCGTTGGCCTCTTTCTGGAGAAGGACGGGCGGTGGCGTCGAGGACGGTGCTGGCGACGACGACGCGCCTCTCCGCGACTTGCGCAGCGCAGGCGAGGCAGGCTCTGGCGGCGGCGACGGCGCCCACTCCTTGTCCAGCAACTCGTAATCCAGCTACACCCATATTAGCAATAGTAAACGCCTGATCAAATACACACCTTTTGCCGATACTGGCTCGCGGCCCAACAATGATACGTGTCATGCACACTCAGTGAATCGCTGTACCCGCCCTGCTCCACTGGCCTGTACCCGCGCATAAACTCGCGAAACCGGCCGTTCCCGCCGAGCTGCATGCGCTTCAGCTGGTCGTCCTGCCACGTATCCATCGACAGCGACCGCACAAACCTGCACCCCATCAGCAGCGACGAACAATCTGCACAAACCACGCACGTTATATGGACTCCAAAGCCGCGATGCATCCCCGCGCACTGCAGACACATGAACACCGCAAAACTGCATCCTCAGTCACAGCACTGGCACAGATCAGACTACACACCTCAGCGACGCCCACTGCGGGTTCGGGCTCCCACAGTCAACACACACCCGATTCCCCAGGTCTTCCCGCTTCACAAGCTCTTGCAGCGTCTTTTTGGCAGCTGTCTGGTCCATGATGGTAGAATCAAACCACCACTTGCCTTTCTCGGATGACTAGACTCCTACGCCATGCTTTATCTCCGACGCGGCATCTCTCCCTGCTCTCCATCCAACCCTTCCCTGAATATCCTCCTGCGAATTCTCCATATTCAATTTCACAAGGTGCGGCGTTTGACCTGCATTTCATTGATATCATCTCACCACTGTGAGAAGCTCATCATTGAAACCTTAATGGAATTGATTCGCTTAGCTGATTCTTCTTCAAATTCACGAGCTACCATGCAGAATGGAACGCCGCCTCTGCGTTATTAAAATCTCTGATCCAGACCATCTACTTTCAGACATCTTACTTCAGGTCCGATACAAACTTAACGCATGTCTCAACCTTACGCCACGGTCACATTACACCTTCGATTCAGACGTAGGCTGTGCAACGTTCCCCGGTGTGCGCGAGCTCTTCACTTGTCCGTTTTCAAAGTCATCAGCTTAGTTCATATTCCCAACAGCCACCCATATGGATTACCGAGGAGGCATCTTTCCTCCCGATCCTCGTCGCAAAACTGCATCCAACCGCAGTTGATTTTACTCAGCATGGGGTCCGAACGCGTATTCATCTCTAAAGACACCGCGAATCATCGCATCTACCCTAGTCTCAATGCAAACTTCGCGCATATAACCTGTCTCTATTTTCAAATTCATCCCTCTCGACACAAATCCTCGTGGGCCATCGCTATCTCACCACTGTGAGAAAGGTCGATCATCGAAACCTTAACATCATTCAATCGATTATCCCAACTTCATCATACTCAACCACTCATACGGATAACCCGCGCAGAATGGACCGTCTCGTTCTGTGGTATTAAGAAACCCCTCTTCTAGTCTACAACTGTTTTCAGACGTCTCTCCCAAACCTCGAACCCAAGAGGCCACGCGCAGAAATACGCCCGAGGCTAACTTCATTCTTCGTAAATTCAGGCCGTCCTCCAAATACGCAAGGTTCCCCCGCGAACGCGAGCTCGTTTTCCTAGCAACCGCTCTCACGCATCTTACTGCATCCACCCCAGCAATATCACCGACTAGTTATCCTTACCCC